CTCTCTGCTCTGCTGCAAAATCATCTTCTACAGAGACTCCAGCGTTGTTGTTGATCAGTGTTTCACATTAGAAATGAAGAACCGAGGTTGTAAAGAGAATCCTGTGAGACCTTTGAGTTACTGTGTCCCTGCTGTCAGCTGTTAGACATCCAGACGGTCCAAAAACAGACCTGGATTTAACTCTGTGTGAAAGTTTACAGGCTTCAGTTTAAAAAAGCATCATGAAGAAGAGTTACTCACACAGCACAGCACACGAACACACAGCAGCACCAACGACACTGACCTGAGGCATCCCATTTAAGGTACACCCCACCCTGCCCTGACTTGTCTCTGGGGAGGGGCATGTTTGTCCTTCTGTGGAAGTCTTTTACCGAGGACTCCACACCATCACTGTTACAGCAGCTTCCTGTCAGCGACTGGTTTGATGAAAGGTGCTGTTGTTGCATCTCAGCAGTTTATGTGGGACATTCCTCTGGTCCCAGTGGTCCCAGTGGTCCCAGTGGCTCACTTGGCATGATTGTTATGCTTCACATCACAGTTTGCTATGTTTAATGACTCGGACAGATTATAAGAGTCCCATTGTTTGTTTAAGTCACGGTCCTGTTAGAGTCTGCATTTCTCTGTGTGAGCTGAATTTTAGCTGGAAATGTTTCTGCCTTTACTACAAAGCAGCAGCAGGGCATGCTGGGAAATATACTACTGCTACTTCTGCTCCTTTCTGTCATTTGTACAAAAACCCACGAACCTGTTGAATAAACTATGTATAATATATTGAACATACAATACAAATCACACCCAGAAGAAAAATCTTCTCCAGTAAAACCTGCCTGACTACATAACAGCGCCGCCCTGCTCACTGATCCACTCACCTGTTATAATAACACACTTACTCAGGCTTATTATCTGATGGCTGTGATTATGCACTCCTATTGTGTCAATTTATATTAATATTTATACAGAAATGTTTATTTTACATATACTGTAAATATCACACACACACGAAACCTGAATAGTGACCAAGAGCACGTGAGAGCACACAGAGCTGCACTGAATGAGTCGCATTGACCTGCTTGTCAAACTGTTCATAAGAACGTGAGCTTGTTTAACCGCGAGTGATGAAAAGAGCAGCTCTGTGTCATCAAACACATTTCACCTTTAAGGCTGTTAACTGTGCTGATGATCTCCAGGAGAAATGTGATGAAGAGTGTGTGTGTGTGTGTGTCGTGTTTTGTTTGTGTGTTTTGTTTCTCTGTGTGTGTGTGTGTGTGTGTGTGTGTGTGTGTGTGTGTCGTGTGTGTGTGTGTGTGTGTGAGTGTTTGTGTGTGTGTTCCTGCAGTATATTGCAAGTAAACCTGACAAGTTTGGGATCAAGTTTTGGGTGGCTTGCGACCTAAAATCCAAGTACATTTGCAATGTCTTCCCATATCTTGGCAAGGACCCCAGTCGTCCCACTGGGGAGAGACTTTCTGAAAATGTCGTAATGAGGCTGATGGAACCATTCCTAGACAAGGGCAGAAATGTTACCACGGACAATTTTTTCACATCGCTTTCACTGGCACAAAAACTTCTTAGACGGAAAACCACCATCCTCGGCACAGTCAACAGGATTCGCAGGGAAATTCCTCAATCCACTAGACAGACAGATCGCAATGAATTCACCACTCAGGTATGTTGCAGGTCTTTTGTGGTTCTATGTTTATGTGTTTCATTGTGTGTAAAAGGGCTATGGAAATAACAATTTATCTTATTTCTTAGGTGTTTTCAACCTCTGCTGCCACGCTGACGGCGTATGCGGCCAAACGGAAGAAGACAGTCTATATTCTTAGCAGCATGCACAGCGTGGTTCAGACTGATAACACCACCAAAAGGAAGCCAAACACTGTCACCCTTTACAACAAAACAAAGTGTGGCGTGGATGTGATGGACCAGATGGTTCGGGAGTACACTGTCCGCAAAGGAACACGGCGCTGGCCAGTCGCCGTTATCATTGCAGGCCACTGGGCGTTTATTGTCTTATGTAGTCTGGAGTGAGGGATGGTGGTGTCAGTTTTCTCTGTGGTGGGGTTGGGTGGACTGTCCTGGGCTCTGTGGGGCCGGGAGGCGCTGCTGCATTGGGCCCGGTCTGGATGGGCCTGGGCCCCCTTTCCCTGGCGGGTCGCGGAGTTGTGGGGTGCCTACTGGGGTCACGGGGGAGCTGGCCCCAGGGAGGGGTCACTCTGCCCCTCCCTTCCTTCCCTCCCCATCTCCAGCTGCCTCCCTCTTCCCGCTCCACCACAACCACCCACACATGCAGGAGCCTTGGAGTAGGGGTATGTCACCAGGGTGCAGAGGAGGCTACCCCCCCCTCTGTCCCCTTCTGGCTGCCTCTGCCTCAATTTTATCCCACAACTTAGACATTCACATTACTCACACTCTCATTACACATACATATAGGATCTTGGGGGTGGGCACGATACACGGAATCCAAAGTTACCATCAGGGTGTACACCCCACCCCTGGCGTCGTTGCCCACCTCTCAATGTTAAATACACGTAGACATTGAGGGCTAGCAGGAGGGACCATGCGCTTACCTGCTGCTCTCTGGCAGGTAGCTCCATGCCCTCCTGGGTTTTAAATGCACCTTAGAACACACATGCATCAACACCACAATGAGCGGGTGGAGGGAGGTTTGGAGTCTTCTCTCACCCCCATTCTCTGCGGCCTGCTGGAGCGGGGGGGCTAGGAGGAGGAGTTGGCCGTCCGACTGCGGTCTGGAGTGTGGGGCCTCCCTGCTGCTGCGGAGTCGGGGCGGTCTGCCTCCCCCACCGCAGGGAAAAGGGTAACACCACCTGGGTCTGGGTGCAGTTCCCCCCTCCAGGGGCAAGGGTACCTAGACCCGGTTTGTAGAGTACGCTTGGGGAGTGTGATCGTGTGATACAGCGTCTCTTTATGTCTGTCTCCACGTCGGTTGAGTGTGGAGAGTGCACATGAGAGCATGAGGGTGGGAATGGATGTTTGTGTCTGTGTCATATGTCAGGTTGGGTGATCAGACGCCACCTCTCTGGGGACATCTCAGGCCCTCCAAGGTTTGGAGGCCTATCTCCCCCCACCACCACTTCCCCTGCCAGTGGCGGACTCCCTCAGACATCGGTGCGTTGGTGGTTCTTTGTGTCTGGGGTGGGCGTCCGGGTACACACCAGCTCACTCCTTGGCGGCCGCTTATCGGGGCCTGGAGCCTGGGGCTCTGCTCGGGCCACTTCGGAGGTGGGGTGCCCCCGGCCTCTCGGCCTGGGGCTCGGTCACTCAGGCACAGCTGGCTGCCGGCGGAGCTCACGGGCGCGTCACTGCAACTCCCCCTGGCTTCTGCTCCGCGGCTGCTGAGTGAGCCCTCATCTGGGACTCTCCTCAGCTCTTTCTGGGACAGTGGCGCGGCTGCCCCTCTGTTGGTCTTCCTTGGTCTCTTGTGTTCTGGGGGCCTCTGGATGTCTGGAGTTTTGATCTCCTCCATACCTGCTTCATGCCCTGGAGGACGGGGCTGTGGCCCCCCCACACCCTCTAGCAGATCATTACATGAAGGAACCTTTTAAAAAAACAAGCGCATCCATGCTCACAGGTGTACACAGGGTGATTACACCCACAAACTACACCCTTTTTGGCTCCTAATGACACATTTATCATCTACACTTTGTGTGACCTGATCAGATCGGTCACGGCTGCTCTGTAAACTCTGTTTATGAAAGTAAGCAGCTGATTGAAACCAGTGCTTTATAAACGGGAGCGGACATCATGGGGGATGTGACAGCTCCTCAGTCACGTCATTATGTGCACCGTGGGCTCAGCACCAGCCGGGCTCGCCGTCACACCCAGACTGAAGCCATTCATTGTTCCTGCAGCAGTGTGTGCGCCTCAGGTCACAACAGGCACAGAGCTAAACATTTAAATACGATGTGTACAATTAAACTAGCTTCAGGCAGTTTCAATCCAAACGCTGCTTTCAGCAGCTGATTGTTTAAATATTAACTTGTGTGTAATCTTCATGCTTTTCATACCAGAAGACCAGCAGCGAGACAGGAGACGACATGAAGCCATGGAGTGTGACCACAGCAGGGAAATGTGTTACCATCAGTGTGTGCGATAAAACTGTAACGCTTCCTGTTAAGCCGTCTCACAGCTGCAGTAAAACTGAACCAGAATCAGGTCTGGCAACAGAACTATGAAAGAGTTCGGACTTTCTTTTTACCAGGACTTTATAAAAGGAATATCTGAGGAATATCAGGGAGGTGTCCAAAAACCCGCCCACGCTCAGTCTCACTGATCTCCAGAGAGACGCCCTCTTCATCCATCAACTGGAGCCAAATGTTGGACACTTGTTCCTCACTATCATTCACACTTCATGCAAAGGTCCCTTCACAGAAATCAAACGTACACTCTTCTAACAGTCAGGAAGTTCTTTCCTCGTGATGGCTCATCTGTAAAAATGCTCCGTGTTTATAATGACAGTAGACTTTGTGTCCACAGCTGATACAGAGTGTAGCTGTATGTAAGTGACCACCAACCAGTGCACGGTTACGTCCTGAATGTTGTTAGAGCAGAAGCCCTAATTACTCCTGGCGTCAAATTCAGTCAGGATTACAGATTACTGACACAGATTACTGATTACATCTGCGGTCTGTGACAACAGTGAGCCCCGCGGCTTCAAACCACAGACTGTATATAAAAGATCAACAACATGACAGCTGACAAACTGCCAAAAGAAATCCTGATGTTCAAGGATCAACTTGATCAAACAAAACAAATGAAGTAAAAGTGAATTGATTCTAATCCCATCTTTATTTAAATGGGTGCAAATGTAAGTTTATAACCAGAATTTTATCCACCAGCCGTACAAACACGTGAAATTCTCAGTAAATCAGCATCATTCAGTCTCACTGTGGTTTTTACAACAACATCAAAGAAAAGGAAAAACTACCAAAGATCAATCATGTAAAGTCTGTCACACACACTTCACAGGGAGTCTGTACTCTTTGGAAATGTCTTTTATTGCAATATTATTACAACAGTAAACACCAAACAGCCCGGTCTGTCAGAGCTCTTCAAGTTTCCTCAGAATCAGTTTTGGTTTGTTTGGAAAGACGTCATTCCTGTTTGGTTTAAATATCCAGGAATATCCAGGAATCGTTTGACATCCAGGGCCACTTACAGCCCACGTTGATCTTAAGTGAGCGAGACGAGTGAAGCTAACTACACATTTAATCCCTGAGATATTTTAACATGACAGAAGAAGAAGAAGTGCCAGAACAGGAGAACATCTCAGCGTTTCTACGAGATTAATGCGTAAAATTACAGAAATATTGTGGATCTTTGGTGTTATCAGAGACTGACATCCAGAATCAGTGTAACATGTAGATATTCAGTACCTGATGAAGAAAATGTAAAAGCAGCACTGCATATCAGAAAGAGCAGGTCCACTGAGATGCATGTGCCAGACTTTAAAAACCTACGACTCTCTCCATGGATGTTCCAGGTTCACAGTGCAGCAGCTGCTCTTTGGATCTTTTATAGACAAATGTCTTAAAGAGACAGACAGTAAAGACAGAGGCCATGTTTACTGTTATTTACTGCTATTTACTGCTCGCTGTCAGGTCCGCAGCATTAAACACGACCTTTGTAACGCTGGACGTCTGTGGGAGGTCCGTTACACAGCTGTATCTGCACAGCTGTATCTGCACAGCTGTATCTGCACAGCTGTATCTGCACAGCTGTATCCGTGTACATTCTCCTGTCCGGAGGATCTTCCAGGATCTTCTTGATCACACTCTGCGTACCGAACCCGAAACCTTTCTGTGAACAAAAGAAAACACAAAATACGACTGATGACAGTGGATCGCGTGTTAAAGACGTCACGGCATCTCTCTGAAAGAAGAAGAGCAGCTCTGCAGACGCATCAACACTGAACATCTCACTGAGGTTTAGTCGAGCTCTTTCTACAGATCCAGACTGAAAACTACGGACACAAGAGATGCTGACTGTGACTCCTAATGTCTCTCAGTGTGGTGGACACTTCATTAAGTTCATATTAACAACCAGCTGCAGCTGATGCCTGCAGGCTGCTGACCACAGCGTGTGATGGTATTTGTTGTAATATCTGGATAAAAGCTAGAAATGATCAAACCTTCAAAGGATTTTGAAATCTGACTTCCTGGTTTTGCTTTCAGTGACACAGACTGAGAATCTGTCAGCTCATCGTGTCTCATAGTGAGAAAGTTCATTCATCACAGGTGAAGGTAACCCCACAGGAAACTAACCCTAACCCACACTCTTACTTTTACGCTCAAACTGACCTTTGATTTGCTCACGATATTTAAACAGCAGCACAGCACAGCCGACAAGAACGGCGAACACAATCAGTACAGCAACACCAACGATCCAGAGTATCCAGGGTATCCAGTTCTTTGGAGGCGTAGTTGGTTTTGGACCTGGAACAGATGAAAAGGAGACAACAAGTAGTTTCACTAAAATCAATGATGTTTATTTCAATGATGAAATATTAAATATTATAACTAAAAATATAATTAGGAAATCCAAGTACATCACAAAAAATAGACACTGTGAATTAAGAAAGGCGCTGCCAGAGCAATATAAAAATATAAAACCTGCCCATGTCTGCAGTAATAAATGCTGATGTTTCCATACTGATATATGGAAACGCGCCCTCGCTGAAAACTCACCAGCGGTGCTGTGATCAGCTGACGTTTGTGTTGGTGTTGCCGGTGTTGAAGAATAACTGGACGGTTCTGGGGAAACAGGAGGAGTTCATTTACAGCAAACTCAAATATCTCAGATCAAACAATAACCTCAGCAGCTGAAACACTCAGCGAGCTGAGGTGTGACGGTGGTGGGAAATCACACTCTGAACAATAATGTGCACAAATGAATGTGTGAAACAGAAGAATCTGTTAAACAGCCGCCCGCCTCATGAGCTCACGTGTGTAATTAAATTGATTTTGGCCGTGTTTAAATTTTGCTGTGTGCATGATATAACATTATCACTCATGACAGTATTAAAGGAAAAGCTTATAAAGTTTAAATGAAACTCCATTTCCCATCAGCCTCTGACTGTCACAGAGTCACTGTCACATCTGATAATGAGTTAATGATGCTGATGCTTTTATTGTGAAGGATGCTGAAAGGGTTGTTAATGTGACTTCATGATGTGACATTTCTATAATAAGAAGAAATAATGGTGAATAATGTGATGCTAACTAAAGTGAGTATGTCCCCAGTGTGTTTGTGTTGCGTGACTATTTTACTACTGACCCACAACAGTCACAATAAATTCTTTCACGATCCCCTCGGTCTCATTGAAGAGCTGCCTCTGATAACGTCCGCTGTCATTAGCAGTGAGGGACCGAATGATGAGTGATCCGGTCTTTTCATCCAGCTGGTGCTTGTCTGTTGCATTTTTTCTCCATTCTCCAGCATCATAGTGGATTAAGACGGTAGTGGTTCCCCCTTGAACATGAGACCAGATGATCTCATATTCACCGATCAGCTGAGTGTCTGGAGTGTCGAGTTTCAGGGTCTCCCCAAAGCTCCCAGTCAGTGATTCATCAGATCGAACAGCTGCCCCTGAGAGAGACACAGAGCAGGGCAACGGGAATCAAACCTTTGTTCGTTTGTCCTTATTTGATCTGAATTGTTTTAGAAGCAACACGTTTCACTTTTCATGTTGTCACATTTTTCCTGCCATTAAAGAACAATTCATCCATGCTAATGCTAGAAGGGGAGCGATAACTGTGATATCTCAGCTGTGATATTTGAAACCATATTACTGTGAGCTTTAAGTAGAATCTTTGGCAGGCCGGGTCTCCATCAGGCCAACATGTCTCTGCCTGCAGTTGAGTTTGATGAAAATCATTTGTAAATTATTTTTGTCTGTTAAAGACTCATTAAAGTTGACCTAGTTTCACCAACAGACATCAGGCATTTATAATTATATACTGATATGAGAAGCAATGATACAATAAGTAATAAAAACAGTTCACACATCTTCTACATGAAGCTTTCTTTCATCTCCTCCAGAAACTGATGGTTTTTAAAGAAAAAGAAGACACACACACACACACACACACACACATCTTGTGTGCTCGCGCGCATGGACATTCGTGAGGTTGCATCATTATAAACACATCCTTTAAAGTTCAGTCTGCTGAGGCTTCGACACCAAACATGCAGGCATGGTGAGCACGCTGGAGGAGATAACTCCAGGTAGTGTGGGCGCTTGTTCTGTGAGAACATCTCCACCTCCATCAAGGTCACAAACACCAGAACAGCAGCGTACTGCACCGGTGTCCAGAGCTCCCACGGAAATTTAAGTCAGCACATCCTGGCTCCACAGACGTGCTAAGGGCCAGTGGCGGTGCTAGCCTGTTTGGCGCTCTGGGCGAACACTCCCTCCGGTGCTTGGATTTACAACATTATGAATGAAATGTGCTCTATTTGGAAGCAGCCGGCCCCTTTGCCCATTTGCTGGGAGTAAGGGCGCCCTCCGTTCGCGAGCTGCGCCTGCTGCTTGCGGCACAGGGAGGAGAGGGCGGGGCGGCGGGGGATTCTCTGAC